AGAAAAAAAAAAGACATGACAGTTTCATCATTAAACAAGATGAAAGAAGACCAAAGGGGGGTTTCCAAGGCAAGGGGACAGCTTTGTTAATCCAAAGACCCAGGCTCCCTCTGTTTTACTTGGTGCTCCGCCATCTTCTGCTTCTTGCTTCCACTTCAAGATTCAAGGTATATATGAAGTCTAGCTGTCAGATGACATTCAGTCCGGCTCCAAGGAGGAAGAGAAGAAGGTGTGCCTCTTGCCTTTAGGGATTAAAGAACGTTGTTTACAGTTCTGTTTGCATTGCTTTGGCCAGAAATCAGTCCTACAGCCTCACCTTGCTGCAAGGAATCTGAAAAATGTAGCTTTGTTTGAGTTGTTCAAGTTCCTTCATATACACTGGATGTTCTCTACTAAGGAAGGAAGAGGAAATGATTCTGTTTAAGAGACAACTAGTGCCTTGTATGATAAGGATTAATTAGTATATGTTAGATATTGATCCTATGTTAGTAGTAGGTGTTTCAAATGTCTTCTTCTATATCAGAACTTGCCATTTTACTTTCTTTATAATGTCTTTAGATAAACATGCTGTTAAATTTAATGGAGTTGAGTTTAACATTTTCCATTCCAATTTTATTCATATTTTGAGAAAGTTGTCCATATTCCAATTTCATAAAAGTTATATTACTATTATCTCCAGGTCCATTCATGCTGCTCCAAATGGTAAGAGTTCCTTCTAAGCAAAATAAGCCAGTCAGAGAAAGATGAATACCATATGATCTCAGTAATACATGGAATCTAATGAACAAAATAATCTGATGAACAAAATAGAACCAGAGGCATGGATACATGGAACAGACTGATAATGTCAGAGGGCAGGGAGATGGGGAGTACTGGATAAAAAGAAGAGAAGAGATTAGCCAAAGAACATATATGCAACAATGTGGTGAAGACCCAGGGGAGGTTGGAGTGAGGGCTGGATGGAGTAGACATTCTCAGAGGGGAATGGGTGACATCTGTAATAGAATCAACAATGAAAAAGAAAAAAATATATTACTATAAAATTATTCAACATTTTTATAGCTTTGACTTAGCTTATATATAGCTTATAGACTTAGAATTTCCATTTCACCTATGCAGCTGTCTCAGCACCATTCATAGAAAGTAATTATTTTCTTAATTGATTTGCAGGGCTACTTCTATCATGGATCAGGTTTCCATGTGTGTTTGGGTCTATTTGTTGATTTATTTGTCTATTTCTACATCAATATCACAACTCTTTTAAATTACAGTGATTTTATAATAAGTCATGATATCATTTAACTCAGATTTTATCAAATTCTTTTTCTTTATTTTAAACTATTTTTAGTATTGACACTGTTACAGATGTCCCCTTTTTCCTTCCTTTGCTCACCTTCATCCAGCCCCTGCCCCCGTTCCATCCGGCCATCACCACACTATTGTCTGTGTCTATGGGCTATGCACATATGTTCTTTGGCTAATCCATTTACCTTCTTTCATCTATCCCCTACTCCACCCTTTCCTCTGACATTGTCAGTCTGTACCATGTATCCATACCTCTGGTTCTATTTTGTTTGTCAGTTTATTTTGTTCATTTGATTCCATATCTTGGCTCTTTTTTTTGACCCATTACTGTTCTACCTATGTTTTGGAGTCATAATTTTAAGATTTATAATACATGACAAAACAACAACCAAAAAATTCAAAATTTTGACTGAAAGTGCATTGAATCTATAGAATATGTTACGTAGAAGTCTATGATATTGAATTTTCTAATCCATAAACACCGTGTTGTGTCTCTGGGATTTTAGAATACTGATGTAGTATCTTTCAATGGATAGTATTATAATAGAATATCATAATTTCACTAATTAAAATTTTGCATTTTTGGTACATTTATTCCTGAGGAATTTATATTTTTGTTGCTGTTTTTAACAATTGGTAATTGCAAAAAGCTATATATGTTAGCTCTGTTGTTGGCAGAAATGCAAGTAATTTTATAATAAAGAAACAAAGTAAGTATTTAAAAAATATTATTTTCTATGTAAAATCACAAACTGATTAACACTCAGTTATTAACATTTTGTTTTTAAAATTGTTGGATGTTGATATTATTTTGGGTTATATATGTAGGCTTACTGTTAGGATATTTATATTCCTAATTTAGTTATTACTAATAATGTCATCATGAAATTTATTGTACGTGTCTCTTGGTCATATATGCATGTATTTCTTTAATCATACACCCAGATGTAGAATTGCTGGATCACAGGCTGTTTATTTTCAACTTGAGTGGAAGATGCTAAAGTGCTTTCAAATACAGTAGTCCTTTTTATCTGTGGTTTCGCTTTAGGAAGTTACCCATGGTCAACCACGGCCCAAATATATTCAATGGGAAATTCCAGAAATAAACAACTCATAAGTTTTTAATTGCATGCCATTCTGAGTAACATGCTGAATTCTCGCACTGACCTGCTCCATCCCACCTAGGACATGAATCATCGCTTTGTCCAACAGATCCACACTGCTTACGCTACCCACACATTAGTCATTTAGCAGCTCTCTTGGTTATCAGATCGACTATTGTGGTAACACAGTACTTGGTTCTAGTAGCCCTTACTTTACCTAATAACAACTCTTAGTAAAGAACATTGAGAAATTTGTAAAAGTAGTGATGCTGGCAATACATATATGTCAAAGAGAAGCTGTAAATGTATGCACGTAAGGAAAAAAAACATAGTATATACAGGGGTCAATACTATCTACGATTTCAGGCATTAACTGGGGGTCTTAGAAAGTATCCCCTGCAGATAAGGGGGTACTGCCATATCGTTGTACCAATGCACTCAAACCAGACATGAACACAAGGAATGCCCAGGACACATTATACCACAGCCTCATCAAAACTTAGCATTGTCAGCCTTTTCCACTCTAGCCATTCTGGTGGGTGTGGCAATTCTAGTGGTTTTAATATGCATTTTCCTGACTCTTAATGAGGTTCTACATCTTTTCTTATCTTTACTGCTATTGGGGTATTTTCTATGTTGAGACTGTTCAGGTCCTTTGCCTATTTTTCTTTTGGCCTATCTGCCCTAAGACTCATTTGTGTCATTCATATTTTAAAATACATGTTCAGGATATGAGCTCTTTTATCATTTGAAGTTTTGCAAATATCTACCCCCAATATGTGTCATTTTTTTCAGCTATATTATTCTTTCCAATTCAATTTCCCTTTTAATGGATAGATTAAACCATTGTAAGAGACACTTAACCTGTAACTTTTCTCTCTTTTAATACATCATTTTATATTCTTGTATTACAAAACACAAATCTCAAAATGGAATCACATCATTTATATTTCCATGTAAGCATTCCATATTCTAGCAGGTAAAATCTAATATTTTATTTATTGACATATTTGAGATCCTACATCAAACCGGCTTTGCTTAACTGTTGAATATATGAACAGATATGTCCCTCAATCCAGCATGCTAATGCCTATCTCCATATCACAACAGTGTCTCCTCTTTTTCTATCTAGGGTTCCTAGAAAAAGAGCCCAAACTTATTACTAAGAGTTTATTAGAAGGGGGTTGCATTTTAGGCAGCAGAGGTATGGGGGAGCCTGGCTCATGTGGCTCAGTGGTTGAGTGTCCACCCATGAACCAGAAGGTCATGGTCAGGGCACAATGCCTGGGTTGTGGGCTCAGTCCTCAATAGGGGGCATGCAGAAGGTGGCTAATCATTGATTCTCTCTCATTACTGATGGTATTTTTTTTCTCTCTCTCCCTCTTCCTTTCTCTTGTTTCCTCTCTCTGACATCAACAAAAACATGTTTTTTAAAAAGTGAGGGGGAAAATTAGGAAATAAAGCAAGAAAGGAGTAGCATTTATCTGTTTGCTTATTCTTTTTACGTGTTAATACTGTTGTATCGTAAATCAGTGAGTGAGATACAAGATGCCTTAATGAGCCAATTAATTAGGAATCGTTTATTGCATGCGGGCCCAGAAGGAGATGTTTCTTCCAAATCTCTGAGTGAAGTCACACAGAAAGTTTCCTGTAATTATACCTTTTGAGCTTCTTTGTCTTCAGATTTTACAAAGAGCTCTGTGTGAGTTATTGTTACAGTTTGTAATCTTAGATACATAAAGAACAAACATTTGGCATAAGAATATGGGAATTATTATCAGCGTTAGTCCTTTACGTTAGATGGCTAGCTTGCAAGGTCAGACAGTTAAGTTTTTATCTTTTTCTATTATTCAAACTAAAACAGTTATTTTATAGAATAAGAGACTGTCTAAAAATGACAGAGTTTACAGAACAAGGGACTATCTAGCAGATAATTTCAAACAGCAATTTTTATACAAGATAGAGGTTATTATGCTTCAATACCCCTTTTACATCTGAGTGTTTTGACTTAGCCCTCCTGGGCAGCTACTGAGAAGTCTAGATCCCTCCTCCCTGATGTGGCATTTCCTTTGAATGTGGAAGTAGTGGGTGAGGCCAGAACTCCCATAGATTCAGGCTTGTCAGAGCCTGCCCATTACAGTGATCTTGTCAATGTTTTTCTAAAGCTGGTCTATCCCCCACAGCAGAAGGCACACAATACCCCCATTAGGAAATGAGGCCACATCAGAAGCAGCAGCCAGGGCTCTCCATTGACAAAGTGGCTCAGGCCAAGGGGCAGAGGAGGCCAAGTGAGTGTGGAGATGTACATAGCTGGGTTCTGTACACCTTTATGTTCTCATCTACCACAGCTGCCCTTCAGAATAGTAATCTGAGGAAGGCAATGAGCCACAGTAAGAGCACAGGAAAGAAAGAGGAAAAGAGAGCATCTCAGTTGGTCTGAATTTGTGGTTTGACTAAGTCAGTTGGTTGCACATCAAAGGGAATTCTCTAGAAAGACAGGATTTCAAAATTATCTGTGTGTGTGTGTGTGTGTGTGTGTGTATTACTATGCTTCTTGCTGCCCGATCCCACAATTGCTATTGCATTTTCCAGGTGTGATGGAGCCTTCACTTTCCTGTGTGTCTGGATACTTTGTGACCTTTCTCCTCTTAGAGATGGTGCTCACCTCGGGTAAGGATATCTATTCTTTTTCATGGTGTGTCCCAGTAATAAAGAAAGATCATGGAGGTAACTGACACTGAACGAAATGAGGACGGTTTCTCGCTGATGTTCTTCTGGTTCCACCCTTTCTGTTATAGTTTTGAGGATAGAAATGAGGCTTCAAACAACTTGTGATTAAGACATGTTATTTCAGTGACTGAATCTTTCTCAGCCTGACTCCACCCACAGTGCTGCAATGATGTGCCTAGGAGATGAGACAGATAAATGTCTACCATCTCCCCCTGGGATGCTCAAATTCTCACTGGCAAATCATAATGAATATACCGCTTATGGTTAAGAACAAAACACGATCGTTTATGTGACTATAAGTTTAGTTTAGAATTATAAGTTTAGTAGAACCTCGGGTAAAGAAGATGGTGTGAGCTGGAACTGTGCACAAATTTTTCTAATTCAGTAGACCTTAGGTCTGATAATTCAGATTTCTTATGGTGAGAAGGAAAAACATTGTCAGCAGAGACAGGAATGAATTTGCCATAGTTGAAAGGAGCAAAACCTCAGAGTATGGGAGATGCTGTGTGATAGTCACCTGTAGCTTTAGAACAGGTTACCCCCCCAAATGAATGATTTAAAACAACCAACATTTTATTACATTTCACAGTTGGTGGGTCAGGAATATTGGCTAGCGCATTCTTCTGTTCCACGTGACACAGATTGAGGTCACTTGGTGTATTCAGCTGGTGGGGAAGGTGGTCTGAAGAACCCAAGGTGGTTTCATTAATGTCTGGAACTTTGATGGAGTAGGCTGGAAGGCTGGGATTATCAGATGGCATGTCAACACGTGGCCTTTCTGACATGCTGGACTCAGGGGAGTTGACTTCATTTTGGCAGCTCATGGCTTCCATAAAGAGTGTTAAAAAATAACAAAGGAAATAAATTAAAAGAATGAGAGCTGCTAATTTCTTAAGACAGGCTCAGAAATTATTGCAGGTCATCTTCTGCCATATTCTACTGAGCAAAGCAATCTCAAAACATACAGTTTCAAGAGGAGGGGACATAAACCCTTTATCTTCATGGAAGTCACATCAAAAAATTTGTGGCCATCTTTAATCCACCAAAAACGATACTGAAAAAAGCAGCTGTGTGTTTGATAAGTAAAGGAGTTTGACGGGCAATAGTGGTTCACATCCTACTTCTAGACAATGAGAGAATCTTCCATTCCTTTGCTAAGGATTTACAGAGTGCCTAGTAGGCACAGACAGTGTTTTACGCACTGAGGATAATGAAGAGAATTTAAAAAGGAATAAGACAAAACTCTGCTGTCGCATGACTTACATATTAGTGGGCCATGAGAGAAAATAAAGACAGAAGTTAACAATATCAGGTAGTGGTATGTGCTATGAAGACCGTGTAGGTGTGATTAGGGGAGATGGTAAACGGGTAATCATCTAAAATCTCCTAAGGAGTTGCCATTTAAGCTGGGACCTGAGAGATAATGAGGCAGAGTGTGGAGGTCAGAGTGAGGATACTCCGGAGAGTCAAATTCAGAGTAAGAAAGAACTTGGCATCAAGAACCAGAAAGAGGCCAATGTATCTGGAAGAGGGGGTCTAGGTGAAGCATATTTCTGTGGCTTTCACACTAAAATCTTGTTCTCTGACTTCCTTCACAGAGCAGTTCACTGTGCATACCTCCAGGAGCCTCCAGGTGGTCCTGGTAGGCACGCACACTGAGCTCAGCTGCCAGCTTTCCCCACCAGAGAGTGCGGAACACATGCAGGTGGGCTGGTATCGGGATCACTACCAGCCGATTTCCATTTACATGAAGGAGAAAAAACTCTCTGGCAAAAGCACTCAGAACTATACAAATCACACAGTGCTCCTGAAGGATGCCCTGGGAGAGGGCAAAATGACCCTGAGGATCCATAATGTCAGTATTACTGATGAGGGGAAGTACCACTGTTTCTTTAAAGATGGCGACATCTCTGAAGAGGCCGTCGTGGATCTGAAGGTAGCAGGTAAGGGCAGAGGAATCATCGCTGGGTTTCCTAGGTAGTGCTGCTCTGGACCCATGACCCAGAATTCATGATTCTGGGCCACGAGGAAAAGGTCTCAGAGCATTTAACAAATCTATAACTTTTATAATGTCTAGAAAAATACATAGAATAATGTAATAAACTAGATACTTGGTTAATAATTTATTATATTTACTTCTGACCAAGTTATCATCATCTTTGTACTCATCAATGATGCCTTTCGCTTATTTCCTTTCCAAGAAGTAACCGTTAAACTCATTGTCTCCTTTGGTTTACACAAAGGCATTCATAAAAATATTATTATTTTGTGTGTTTTAAATTTGCACAACAGTATCATTATGCATATTCTATTGACCTGATTATACTATTAGCTTTTTATTTTTATATCAATCATGTTTATTCAAGTGGGTACAGTTCATTCTTTAACTACAGTATAGTATTCCACCCCATAAATATATGACTGTTGATTTATGTATTCCCATATCAATGGATATTAAAGTAGTAGATAAATTTCTGTTCTTATGTTAGACTGTAGTATTTATGTACAAGAGTTCTTTTAGGATATATAGGTTGCAATTAAGTTACTAGGCCATTGTGTACAAATATCTTCAAATTATTAGCAGTTACCCACCAACATGATTGGATCAATTTATATTTTACTCAAGTCATGTAAAAGCTACATCCACACCAATACTTGAAATTATTCTGTTTTTAAACTTTGGCAAGTTTAAAAAATATTTTTATTGATTTTAGAGAGGAAGGGAGAGAGAGAGATAGAAACATCAATGATGAGAGATAATCATTAATCAGCTGCTTTCTACATACCCGCTTCTGGGGATGGAGCCTGAAACCTGGGCATGAGCCCTGATTGGGAATCAAACTATGACTTCCTGGCTCCTAGATCAATGCTCATCTACTGAGCCACACCTGGCAGGGAAAACTTTCATTTTAGTTTAATTTTTCCTTAATAATAATAATAATAATAAAGTTTTCTTTGTTATATAGTAGAGACTTATTTTTCTGACCATTTTATTATTGAGTTCTCTGATTTTGTTTTAATTTGTGGGAATTGTTCTTTATTCTGGATATTACAATTTAGCTTTTATTTATGTTGCAAAATTTTTTACTCTACTGCCTTTTAAAAAAATTATGGTAACTTATTTTATGCAGATTTAATTTTGATATCAAATTTATAGTCTACCAATTATAATTTATCATTTGTGTCACATTTGAGAAATTCCTTCTTATCCTCATTTTTGAAGATATTTGTTTTGAATTTTTGAAGCTAACTTTTCACATTTAATTCTTAATCTGTATGGATTTTACCTTTGTGCCTTTTAATGAGCTAATAAAATATATATTTATTGACTACTTCCAAAAATTATAAGATAATTCTGTCATTTACCACGTCCATACCTCCACATGGGTCTTTTTATGAGTTTTTATTATGATTACTTTTTATGTCATCATTATCTAATTATCTATACCTAGTGCAATACTGCTTTTCTTAAATTACTATAGCAATGTGTCTTAGTTTGTGATAGGGTATATCTTCCAATCTTGCTATCTTTCTCCAAAATTGTTTTAGCCCCATATAGTCTGAATTGTAATTACAAAGTTAAATCCTCTTAGGAATTATGATTTAAATTAAATTGAACATATAGACTAGTTTAGAGAGATTTGTCATGTTTCTTTATTATAGCAGTCAACATTTACTCAGCCTTTTTAATTTTAGTTCAATTTATATTTCAGTTAAATTTGATATGTTTACCGATAAAGATCTTGTAAAACTTTTGTCAGAATTCATTAGTTAATTTTTTTGGATTATTAATGAGATGGTATTGTTACAAAAATTAATGATTATGGTTGTGATGTAGAAATGTTGATTTATTTTTTATTTTTTGTTTTCTTTCAATGTTATTTACTTTTGAATAAAAACATCAAGATTCAAAATTTAATAATTTAAAGAATGCATAGTGAAGTCTCCCATATACTCCAATCTTATAGCTATGAATTTCACCTCTCACAGGAAACTAATGTGATTAATTCTTACTACTTCTTGAGATATTTTACATTTATATGCATAATATGCATAAACATACATACGTACATGCATATACAAACCTACAGACATATACGTATATCTGTATATAATTTTATATATCCAAAACTTCTTTTTAAATAAATGCTAATATACTACATACATTGTTTTACAACTTGCTTTTTTTCTTAATAAAACGAACTGAAAGAAATTCATATTATTATATGATTTTTTTCTATTCATTCTGTGGTTACAATGTTTCCCATTGTGTGAGTGCTTTAGAAATTGTTTTACCTATACCTTATTAAAGAATATTCAAAGTGCTTTCAAGCTTTTGGTGTGCAAGAAAAGCTCTAATAATTTAAGCAAATTACTACATATGTAACTTCACACCTCTTCCAATATTTTGCCCATTTTAGAAAACCACATTTGTCTGTCTTAATTTATTTATAGCATTTTTAAAAATATCCTGGACTCACTCCTTTCTCAGATATATTATAAATGTTGTCTAGTCTGTAGCTTCATTTTTTTTAACCTTCTACATGTTGTCTTTTGTTGAACAAAAATTAACTTTCATAAAGTCAATCATCTCTTCCATGGTTAATACTTTGGTGCCCTGCTAGCTTGGGTGGTCGTCCCTCCCTATTTGTGGTCATCACCATTAAATTTATGGTACACTCTACCAGTCACAGAGAATGAAAAGAACATTTACTTCCTTATTCTTGAGGCCACACCAATAATTCATGTCAATTCTTCCTCTTCCTCCAGCTCTAGGCTTGGATATACAGATTAATGTTCATGTTCCTGACACAAAAGGGCTTGTGGTGGAATGTAACTCGGGAGGGTGGTACCCACAACCCCAGATGAAGTGGAGAGACAGCAGAGGGAATGTAATTCCAGCCTCATCAAAAACCTTCTCTGAGGATGGAGCTGGATTATTGCACCTGAAGACAAGTGTTCTTCTAAAAAACAGTACCCATGGTCCTATCACTTGCTGCTTTCATAACCCAGTTACTAGTCAAGAGAAAAGGGCAAGTATTGTCCTACCAGGTGAGTACCTGTGGCTTGGTTCTACCAAGGAAGAATGGTTTTCATCAGTGTGACAAAATAAAGATAAAATTAGGTGAAATAACAAATGAGAAATTGCTTTATAAACAGTGAACTGCTGTAGACATGCAACATTTAAACCGTATTAAATATCTAGACACAAGGAAAATACCAGATGCTTAGGGAGCCTGTTCTTAAAAATGGAAGGAACTGTAATAATTAAAGAAAAAAAAACTTATTCTGTTTAGCATCTCAAGGTTTCAAAAGTTATATGTCATTTTGCTAGATTCACTATTTCTAGCTTTATGAACTTGGATGTCATGTAACCTTCAAGACCATTGATTTTTCTCATTTAGAGACGGTAACATATATTTTTGAATTTGAAATAAAATAACTCAAGTAGGCTTTATAAGACATAAAGCAATATGTAGAATTAAGGTTGATTTAAAAATTATGGATGTCATAAGTGGACTGTATTACTACCTTGTGAAGAAATAGACATGTAGAAAAGTCCATTACTAAAGATTCAGCAACTGATAAGTGATATATCCAAGATTAGATCCCAACTCCTCACCCAGTATCCAGGGCTATTTTTCTCTGGTACAGAGTGGTTATGATCAGAGAGGTTAGAGGCCAACACTGTAGAACTGTGTTCTTTGTGCTTCAGCCTGTGACTAGGTCTATTCCCCAGACAAATTAAGATGGATGGAAAGGACAAGAGGTAGGCAGAGTGAAAGAATTCATTTTAAGTAAGAAAACAGCTTAACTGTTACACAAAAACCCTGCCCGCCGCCATCAGCAGTTCAAACACAACGGAAATCATCAGATAATTCATGTGGCAGTACTCCTTCATGGTAACTCAAACACTCAGGTTCATGTGGATTCTTGACCATCAATCCCCTTAAAGATCTTGAAAACCTGTTGATCAAGCAAAACTAAGTTTATTAGACCTAAGGCCATAAGAGAGAACATAATCTTCACATTAATAGCATTCTAGAATGGGTAATTCGGGGAGGTTATTTATAATTTGAGAGCCTTTAAAATTTTTTTATATTGACTTCAGAGAGGAAGGGAGAGGGAGAGAGAGATGGAAACATCAATGATGAGAGAGAATCATTGATTGACTGCCTCCTGCATGCCCCCTACTAGGAATTGAGCCCAAAACCTGGGCATATGCCCTGACCGGGAATCGAACCATGAGCCCCTGGTTCATAGGTTGATGCTCAACCACTGAGCTATGCTGACCCGGCATACTGGGTGATTTTTAAGTAAGTCTTAAAAGCTGAGAAACTAGAATTTGCAGTCTATAATATAACTAGAAGCCCTGTGCACGAATTCGTGCATGGGAGGGGTCCCTCAGCCTGGCCGGCCATTAGGGTCGGCTGGGGGAGGGAGGACCACGGGAGGTTGGCCAGCTGTGGGAGGTTGGCTGTGGGAGCACACCGACCACCAAGGGGGAGCTCCTGTGTTGAGCATATGCCCCCTGGTGGTCAGTGCAGGTCATAGCTACCGGCCTGTCGTCTGGCTGTCTGATCATAATA